CAACTCGCAGCAGAAAGGACGCCCGGTTTGGCCCCAAGAATCCATATGTTCGAGGAACCGAAAGATGCGCTCTGCCCTGGGGCCTCCCAGGTCGTGCTGAGATAGAAAAGGATTCCGAGAAAGACACAGAGAATTCGTCTCTAATTCAAACAGTTACCTTCGGAATCGTATATAAATAGCATTTCTCCTTTTCCACGGTTTGATGGAGACATTTCCCCCGATTAATAAAGATCCGAAATAATCACCCACCCAACAGAACATCTTAGAGGGAGCAGCCGCTTGGAGTCCCTGCAGGCTGAGATGAAGTTATCGCTATAGTGCCCACCCTCCCCTCGGGGAATTATATACAAAATCCTCCTGGGAATCCCAGCTCTTTTCTTTCAGTGTCCTCCCTGGACTGAACACGCCGAAACCGAAAGGTGCTGGGATAGGGGTAGGCGGTGCAGGTGCGAATCCGCGATCTGCGGAGGAAGCTCTCCCGGCTGGTGTGAGCCCCCGGCCCTGTGGAGTCGGCTGCAAGGGAGGCGCGGCTGCGTGGAGCGCTTATCCTGTTTGTGTTTTTAATAAATCAGCAAGGCAAAAGCACCTTCAGCTGAAATTGCCTGAAAGATTTTTAAGAGAGGAAAATTGAGGAGGGAAAAAGAAAAAAGAAAATTTGGCGTAGGAAATTTCCTGCAGGCCGTTCTAGGGATGTACTGAGGGAACCCGAATGACGCGCGGCTCCCTTGTAGCTTGACTAAAGACAGGTATTTTCGGGAAAGGAAGGATAAAAAAAAAAAAAAGCACACTCCCTTTGGAAGTACAGTCCCTTTGGGCTGGGACTTCCCACTCCCATCCCTCCTTTTCCCGTCAGATAGTCAGCCAGTCCACGACAAGCCAGGCGTCCAGCCTCTTGCTTTGGCCGCGGTCCGCACCCCCCGGGCGCCCCGCTGGGTTACAGCCGCCCGCTACCCCACGACCCGGCCGGCCGGGTCACTCGGGAGCACATTGACGCTTCACGCCTCCCTCACCCTACACTGGCTGTCCACCTCATCTCTCTTTCTCTTCGAAAACAGAAAAGGAAAAAAAAAACCTGAAATGCTCCCATTGGCCTGCAGTTTTAGGGGGTGCCAGGATTATACAGTCCTAGATGACACACGTCAGATAATCTCCCAAAGTACGGCGCCCGTTTGGGAAGAAATATACACGTAGGACTACGCAGTCACATGCGTTTAGGGAACGTGTGGCCGGGAGGTCTGGAGGCCTGTGATGGGACATGCATGCACTCGGGCGAAATGTCCAAAGGTCACATTTACCCGGTGGGTCAACAGATATTTATTGCGCACCTACGAAGCTATCTGGTACTTGCCCCCTTCTTCTGCCGTTGCTGTCCAGCCCAACGCCTGTCCGGAGACTCGGGTTTACCTGCCGCTCCTTTCTAGAGGGAACTGGTGTCCCGCGTAAAGAGCGACCGGCAAACACGCTCCCCGCCCGGTGAAAAGTACTAATTACCGAGGAGCGGCTGGGAGCGGAGGGCGCGGGGAGCTGGGGTCCCGCCAGGGACTGGGGTCTTTTACCTCAAGGGAATCGGTCCCGGAGAACTGGCAGAGAGAATGGGTATCCCCTTCCCTGAGCACCTCTCTAGAAAACATTGCCCGGGGTTGATGGGAGACGCTGCTGCTCGCCCCAAACAAATTCTTCTAGGACAAGCATCGCTGCTGAAAACGGATTTGGACGTTTGCTAAGGAATTGTTGGCGAGGGAGGTTATGGTCCTTAATTCCTCAGGTAAAGGGAACCCCATCTGCCCACAGCGCCCACCCCCATCCCGAGACGGAAAACGGCGTGCACTGCGTGTTTGCGCCGCCCCACAGAGCCCACGAAACTCGCTTTGCGCCAGCAACCCTGGGCTCCTGCCTGGGCTCCCGTGTAGACGCGGAGGGAGATTGGCGGCCCCGACTGGGGAAGTGGAGCCCGGCGCCTGCCCCGGACGCCGAAGGAGAGAGACTGGGGGGATCCCAGACCTCAGCTTCCCGAGGTCCGGGTGGGAACCGCTCGCACCTCCGTGTCTCCGCTCCCGGCGGCAGACCTTGCGGCGCTTGCTCAAGAACGCGGACCCGAGTGCGCGTCGCGTGCACGTGAAGCGCCATCCATGGCCTGCCCCTTTTCTTGACCTGTGCCCTTTCTCTTCCTCAGCCTCACCAGACTGAGGATCCCGGCGCATTTAGCTTTTGGCAGAATGCTCCGGCTAAAACTGGGCCAACAGCCTCAGTTTCCCAATCTGTAACCCGAACACTGAGAACCGGTTTCTTTCCCTCTGGCTCTCTCTGACTCAGGTCCTCTGGTCGGGGACTGCCAGCGTCTTCCCGGGGCAGGGACGAGAGGTCAGGGGCGACCCGAAAAAGTCACACCGGAGCAAACCGAGCCCCCGAATAGGGATGGGGGAGTTGGCACAGGGAGGCCCCTGCAGAAATACAAGACTGCCCCACTGGCTAATTGATGGTGCCCATGCATCAGACTTGGCCTGGTCCTGGCATACCGAGCAGAGGGCAACGCTTGGCACCTTGGAGATGGGAGTCCTTCTCGTGGTCTCCATCTCCCCGTTGTGTGCAGAATAGAAACGTTAGGCATTTTGAACGCTCTCTTTTTGCCCGGTCCCCTACAGACACACACCTCCCAAGTTCCCCTAACTGGGCTGCCCAGAGATGGATCCACACAGGAGGGAATACCGCTTAGGAATTCCTGTAGAGATAAATCTCAGCAGCAAAGCAGTCCTGATCGAGTAGAATATGCTGTCCCCCTCCACCACCACCACCCATCCAAGTTTTCCTGCACTGTCTTTCTCTGCTAGACTGTTTCTGGGCTTTTGGCGCCCCCTCTGGATACAGCTGAATATTGCAGTCTATTTTTTAAGTATCGTTAAGTTTTCAAAAAGATACAAGAATACAAAATGCGTGCATCAAACGAAGAGAAAATGTGTAGAGCACCGTAGCTTATGATTTAAAATACCGTACAGTACCTATTTCCTATTACATAATTATATTAAAATATATTTATGTAGGTACGTATTTATCTTGACAAATATTTAGTGAAATATTCCAAAATATCTTAAAGCCACAGTCGTCTTCACCGCCTTTATGCCAGTAAACATGGGAATTCCAATAAAATGCAACTAAATACAGACGCCCTGGTTAAAACTTCTGCTCGAAGTTCTGGTCTCTGAGTCTCCTCCTGGGTCAGGTGTCTTCGAATCACACAATTATACTCACAAGTGTCCCCTTCTGAGGACACAGAAATCAGTCCATACTACGCGGGACTTTTTTCTCCCAAGAAAGGATAAAGTTGTTCTTACACTTTCGAGCGTATTCGCGGAGCCATGAATACGAGGCTATTGTATGGAGGTCTCTAACTCGTAAACAAGCTATAGGGTACTAAAGACATCCACTGTGGGTTACGTTCGTTTAAAAAGTAAATACTGCTCAACAGGGTTGTAACTTACTACCTTCTGAAGAGTTCCATTTCCTATAAGAAATGTCTACTTCTTAGGAAGAAAAGGAGAGAAAACGAGATTTTTAAAAATTTTTCAAGGAAAACATTCTTTTAAATCTTGTAATAGCGACAGCAATTTGCAAATCAGAAATAAACAAGTCTTTGATATGTTGCGGGCCGATTCACAATAACACTGAATTCGAGGCGAACATTTGCGAAAGCCAGCAAGGGGGGAGTTTACAATTAAGAGTTTTCCACACTTGTGCGTTTATTTGTGATTCTGAAGACACGTAACCCGCAGGCAACTAAGATTTTTCTTCTCTCCCAGAACGGATACCCCACCAGGTTCTAAGCAGTTAGTGTAAACACTAAAGGATGTGCTCAAATCACGCTTGAATATATCAGAGACACCCCCACCCCCTCCCCCAGAACTCCCAGCCGTCTGCGAGTCAGAAAAGGACCCGATTCAAGTCAGGACGACAGGCGCTTCACCCCTCCAGGTGTTTTGTGAAGGAGAGCGAAAGCAGGCGAGCAGCACGACTCCACCAAAGTGGTGTGTTTTGTCTGCGGTGGTGCCCATTGGTTTGGCCTTTTACAGACCAAGTGACCGGCCTCAGCCTCGCGGCCCGGGACTGCCACAGTCGCAAAGTTCGACCTCTCAAAGCCAGAGCAGTCTGCAAACTCTTTCCAGTGGCAACTCTGCAGACGTTCTGACTTGGCCGGGAGGTGAAGAGCAGAACGTCAGAGCAGCTGCCCTGTCACTGAGGAGCTTCGCGAGGTGGGGGCTTGGGGGGCTGGAGAAGGACTTGTCAGAGTTCAAGGTCGGTGCGGCGCGGGACGGCTCCTGCGAGCGCGGGGCCGCGGCGTCGCCGCCGCCGCCAGCCTTCTCCGGGACTTAGCTTGGTTTTCATTGATTCCCTTTGCAAGAGCGCAGCAGAATCCCGACCAGCCGCACCAGCCCTGGCGAACCAGAGCATGTTAATCTATTTATATGGATTATTACAGAGGAACAGCGGGCGTTGAGTCACCAAAACATTTGCTTCAAAAGACCATTTCTAAGCACTTTCGGAGGAGGCAGGCTCCAGGCGCGTAAACTGGGCTACGCACTAAGAAGCGACTGCTTTTCCCGTACTGCAAACTCCAGCTCAGCCTCCGGTACCGCGGAGAAAGCAGTGGAAAGAACTGCTCGGGGGTGGGAGTGGATCCTAGTCTAGACACACACACACACACACACACACACACGCAAAGATTTGCGAGGAGACGGCACCAAAATTCTGACATTACGAGAGTACGGCAAACTTACACACTTGGACGTCCCGGGTCCCCCGCCTTCCCCGCAGCACCCCCCCCCCCCACCCGCCGGAGCCGCGGCAGCCCTCCCCTCCCGGCTCCTCCCCTCCCTTCTCGTCACCCAGCCCAGCGCCACACTCCTCCTCCCCCCAAAATGGTATCCAATCAGCTGCCTGCCAGCCCCTGAAATGCCGTTCTGTGATAGGCTGGACGTCTCTAAGGTGAGGGGGAGTATTTATTAAAGAGCCGCTGGGCTGGGAGTTGGAGAGCGGAGCTTGAAACTCACTGGAAACTTCAGTGGTGCCGCGACTTGCCAGTTTCATCCCAGGAACTTTTCTTTGCAGGAGGAGAAGAGAAGGGGTGCAAGCGCCCCCGTTTTTGCTCTCTTTCTTCCCCTCCTCCTCCTCTCCAACTCGCCTTCCCCCACTTGGAGCGGGCAGCGGCGGGCTGGCCACCCCGCGCCCTCCTAAGTGCTCGCCGCCGCAGCCGGGTGACGCTCCAGGCTCCCCGGGAGCCGCTCGCTCCGCGTCCGGGCAGCCGAGGGGAGAGGAGCCCGCGCCTCGAGTCCCCGAGCCGCCGCGGCTTCTCGCCTTTCCCGGCCACCCGACCCCTGCCCCGGGCCCGCGTATGAATCTCCTGGACCCCTTCATGAAGATGACCGACGAGCAGGAGAAGGGCCTGTCCGGCGCCCCCAGCCCCACCATGTCCGAGGACTCGGCGGGCTCGCCCTGCCCTTCGGGCTCCGGCTCCGACACGGAGAACACGCGGCCCCAGGAGAACACGTTCCCTAAGGGCGAGCCGGACCTGAAGAAGGAGAGCGAGGAGGACAAGTTCCCCGTGTGCATCCGCGAGGCCGTCAGCCAGGTGCTCAAGGGCTACGACTGGACGCTGGTACCCATGCCGGTGCGCGTCAACGGCTCGAGCAAGAACAAGCCTCACGTCAAGCGGCCCATGAACGCCTTCATGGTGTGGGCGCAGGCGGCGCGCAGGAAGCTCGCCGACCAGTACCCGCACCTGCACAACGCCGAGCTCAGCAAGACTCTGGGCAAGCTCTGGAGGTAGGGCCTGCGCCGCAGGGTGGGCTCCGCGGCGGCGGGGGTGCTGGCCGGGACAGTCTCTCCGCGCCCCGCCTCCCAGCAGGAGGGAGTTGCCGGTCCCGGAGCAGGCTGGGTGGGGCGGGGGGGAGTGGGGACGAGGTGTAACTTGGCTCAGAGTTTGACAGAGTTCTCGGATTGCTCTCGGGGAAAGTGGGGGCTGGTGGGGGGAGAGATAACCAGAGGGTGGGAGAAGGCTTGTGGGAGACACGATGGGAGGGGGCTGCCAGCCGGATCTTCCGTCGCTGTGAAGTTCAATCCCAAGTCGGGGGTTGGGGTAGAAAGTAAAGTTGCCTCTCCCTCCCTCCCTGGAACTGCGCTCTCTTGTGCAGCCCCACACCCAAGGAGATGGGATGGAGGGTGGGGGGAGAAACTGAGGCTAGAGGAGCCCCGTGGCAGGAATGGGGGGGAGGGAAGAAGGGAGGCTGCTGGAAATAGGTGGGCGCAATGTGTGTGTGGGGGGGGGGAGGAGCTCCTTGCAGATTAAGGGGTTTTTTTGGAAAGTTTTTAAAGGATGTTGGGGCGGTGGGGGTATATAACTCCGGTAGCAGAGGCATTTAGAGAGAGAGCAGCGGAGAGCTATTTTCATCTCCAGGGTTTCCAAAATAGAAGGGAAGGGGAGAGGGCGGGGCGGGGAGTGACCGCTCAGATCGGACTAAAAGAACCGAGATTTATTTATTTTTTTTTTTTTTACTTTTTTCTTTTTTTTTTTTTTAAGAAAAGTTCTGAGCTGAGGCAGTGGCTGGAAAGCAGGGAGGAGGGTGGAAACGGTTTGTGTGTGAAGAAGCCGAGTGGTCGGGGTCACCTCCCCCTCCCACCGACCTGACAGCTTAGCCGGTTTCACAGACCCGCTCTCTCTTTTTCTCTGCGCCCCCTCCCCGCCCCCAGATTGCTGAACGAGAGCGAGAAGCGTCCCTTCGTGGAGGAGGCGGAGCGGCTGCGCGTGCAGCACAAGAAAGACCACCCGGATTACAAGTACCAGCCGCGGCGGAGGAAGTCGGTGAAGAACGGCCAGGCGGAGGCCGAGGAGGCCACGGAGCAGACGCATATCTCCCCCAACGCCATCTTCAAGGCGCTGCAGGCCGACTCGCCGCACTCCTCCTCCGGCATGAGCGAGGTGCACTCCCCCGGCGAGCACTCGGGTGAGTCCCTCCACGGCCCCCAGGCCGAGCCATCCCCCCTCCCACCCGAGCCCGGTCACCGCGGTCCGCCTGGCAGGCCCCCAGGCTTCCACCTAGTAGACTCTGCTTAGGGACTTGGCGCTCCCCGGGAGGGAAACACTACTCCCTATGCCTAATCCCTCTCCCGTCCCTGCCCAGGGCCCCACGAAGCCCCCGAACACACACGCGCGCACACACCGAACTCAATCCCTGCATCCTAGCAGGTTAACTTTTATTGCAAGGTAAAATGCCTTTACAGCTTTACAGGACTTCTCCCTTCTTTTCTTTGCCCCCGCACCCCAAAAACACACACAGGGCTCTTCTACAAGTAGCAATTTGGTCTTCCGGACCCTATGGACCTCAGACCCTTCCCTGATAAAAGGAGACTGCCGAGTGTGTACCGGCGGGTTAATCATTCCGCGACTTATCTCCGGTGCAGCGCGCCTCCCGCGCGGATGCGGGGCCTTAAGGCTTTAAGCAGGGAGGGAGGGTCCCAGGAGGGTTCCTAAGACGAGGGCCTTTGCAGAACCCGTGTTGATTTTCCTATGCCTCTTCCTCTTTTATTGCCTGCAGGGCAATCCCAGGGCCCACCGACGCCACCCACCACCCCCAAAACCGACGTGCAGCCCGGCAAGGCTGACCTGAAGCGAGAGGGGCGCCCCCTGCCAGAGGGGGGCAGACAGCCCCCCATCGACTTCCGCGACGTGGACATCGGCGAGCTGAGCAGCGACGTCATCTCCAACATCGAGACCTTCGACGTCAACGAGTTTGACCAGTACCTGCCGCCCAATGGCCACCCGGGGGTGCCGGCCACGCATGGCCAGGTCACCTACACGGGCAGCTACGGCATCAGCAGCACGGCGGCGACCCCCGCGGGCGCGGGCCACGTGTGGATGTCCAAGCAGCAGGCGCCGCCGCCGCCCCCGCAGCAGCCCCCGCAGGCCCCACAGGCCCCGCAGGCGCCCCCGCAGCAGCAGCAGGCGCCGCAGCCCCAGCAGCCGCCGCCCCCGCAGCAGCAGCAGGCGCACACGCTGACCACGCTGAGCAGCGAGCCGGGGCAGTCCCAGCGAACGCACATCAAGACGGAGCAGCTGAGTCCCAGCCACTACAGCGAGCAGCAGCAGCACTCGCCGCAGCAGATCGCCTACAGCCCCTTCAACCTCCCGCACTACAGCCCCTCCTACCCGCCCATCACCCGCTCGCAGTACGACTACACAGACCACCAGAACTCCGGCTCCTACTACAGCCACGCGGCGGGCCAGGGCTCCGGCCTCTACTCCACGTTCACCTACATGAACCCCGCGCAGCGGCCCATGTACACCCCCATCGCCGACACCTCCGGGGTCCCTTCCATCCCGCAGACCCACAGCCCCCAGCACTGGGAACAGCCCGTCTACACACAGCTCACCAGACCTTGAGGAGACCTTAGACAAAGCGTGATGATGGCCGTGATGATCATAAAAATAACCGAAGAAATAAATAACCAGAATTTCCTTTGGACGTTTTTTTTTTCTTATTCCTTAATGACGTTGAAGCTAAAGGCAACTCGTACCCGAATTCCAAAACAGAAACATTAGCGATCCAAACGCATTACCACCTTGTTGCGAATCAGTGGCCAGGCCAGTCTTGGCGAGATGGACCCGCAGAATCGACAAGAAACTGGACTTGAAAACCTTCTTCAAAGCAAGCATGGAGGATGATGGAGAATCGTGTGACCAGTTTGCTCAATCTCTCTGCCTGTTTGGACTTTGTAATTATTTTTTAGCAGTAATTAAAGAAAAAAGTCCTCTGTGAGGAATATTCTCTATTTTAAATATTTTTAGTATGTACTGTGTATGATTCATTACCATTTTGAGGGGATTTATACATATTTTTAGATAAAAAAATTAAATGCTCTTATTTTTCCAACAGCTAAACTACTTAGTTGAACAGCGTGCCCTAGCTTTTCTTGCAACCAGAGTATTTTTGTACAGATTTGCTTTCTCTTACAAAAAAAAAAAAACAAAAAAAGTATGTGTGTTGTTGTATTAACGTAAAAAACACAGATTTGTGTTATGTGATCAGTTTTGGGGGTTAGCTTTGCTTAATTCCTCAGGCTTTCTGATTCAAGGAGGAGCTGCCTTAGAAAGAAAAGTAAAGGCCTTATTTTGCAACTATGGAAGTAAAAATAGTCTAGAGAAGCATTTGGTAAGCTTTATCACATATATATTTTTTAAACAAGAGAAAAACACCTTGAGCCTTAAAACCATGCTGCTGGAAAATACTTGCGCTCTCTTTTAGTGTATTTCCTCCTGCATTTGCTTGTTCACTGCAATCTTAAGAAAGCAGCAGAAGGCAAGCAGAGGAGAAGAAATGGGGGGGGGATGTTTCAGCAGCCAGTAAGTGCCCCAGCACACTGCCCCCTGGTTGCCTGCCTGGGTGCCTTGTGGAACATAGATGCTCAAGTCCTCTCCCACTGTCACCTGTGCCTCTCTGAACACCAGCAGTTAACCTTCAAGACATTCCACGTGCTAAAATTATTTATTTTGCAAGGAGAGGTTTTAAATAAAAAAAAAATCTTCCTTTTTTTTTTTTTAATTTACCTTCTTTAAAATAGGTTGTTGGAGCCTTCCTCAAAGGGTATGGTCATCTGTTGTTAAATTATGTTCTTAACTGTAACCAGTTTTTTTTTTTTATTTATCTCTTTAATCTTTTTTTATTATTAAAAGCAAGTTTCTTTGGATTCCTTGTCCTAGATTTGTATAAATACCTTTTTGTCTGTCCTTTTTTCTCCTTTATTGTTTTTGTTGAAAACAAACTGGAAACTTATTTCTCTTTTTGTACAAATGAGAGGTTGCAAATGTAGTGTATCACTGAGTCATTTGCAGTGTTTTCTGCCACAGATCTTTGGGCTGCTTAAATGGTGTGTGTGTGTGTGTGTTGTGACACAAAACAATGCAAGCCTGTGTCATCAGTATTCCCCTGCATGTTCTCTAGAGAGGGAGGAAGGGGGAGGGAATCAGCCCACTGACAGACCTTAATTCTTAATTACTTCTGTGGCTGGAGAGTTTGAGGATTGCTTTTTAAAAAAGACAGCAAACTTTTTTTTTTATTTAAAAAAAGATATATTAACAGTTTTAGAAGTCAGTAGAATAAAATCTTAAAGCACTCTTATAATATGGCATCTTTCAATTTCTGTATAAAAGCAGATCTTTTAAAAAAAAATTTCTGTAACTTAAGAAACCTGGCATTTAAGTCATATTTTGTCTTTAGGTAAGGTTTGGTTTGTGTTTGTGTTTTGTTCGTTTCGCTCGTTTCCCTCCAAACCTTTTGTTCTCTCTGTGAAACTTATCTTTCCTTTTTTTTTCTTTCTTCCTTTTTTTTGTATATTATTGTTTACAATAAATATACATTGCATTAAAAAGAAAACGGTCTATGGACTTATTCACCCCATTTTCCTGTTAAAAGGATGATTTGAAGTATTGGGCACAAGAGATTGTTACATGCTGATCACTGTGTTGTCATTTTTTATGTACATTTTTGGCGATCTTAAAATAGGCACCGAGGAAAAGACTGTATGTCCCCAAAAATCGAAGCAGAAAAATCTCGAAAAGTGCCACCCCATTTGGTCACGTAGAGAATTACATGTCAGCAGTTGCCGGCTCTGGCAAAATGTTTGCTGTGATTTTAACACCCTCATGCTTCAGGGCAAAAGCTGTTCCCTTGTGGAAGTCAGAAGGGAGGACTAGCCCTGAAATCAGTAGCTTGTCAGGAGATAGAATGCCAAAGGGAGTGACTTCCTTGTCTGAGTTTAATAGAGCAAACTTTCTGTTATCGTGAACACATACCAAAACTTGGGGTGTCCATTTAAAAGGCAAAGAAAGCCTAAACAAAACAGGGTCCGAAGAGGACCAGAGGGAAGTCTGTCCATTAACCCATTACATGATTCAGAGCCTGTCAGGTTTCTCTGCAGGGACAATGGAATGAGGTTCCCTGATTTTTCTCTTCCCTGCAGTTTAACTCATTCTGCGAAGATGCAAAGCCGTCATAGAAGTAATAAGACCTAATCCTGTTTTCCTTGGCCTCAGTTACATGGGGAGTTTCCAGGATCAGAGAACTGTTCAGGTCATTTTTCATTAAACAGATGAAATCACTCCTTCCCTCCCACCCCCACGCAGAGACACCCCACCCCCAGCTGATTGGGAAAGTGTCTTTAAGGAGACAAGTCTCCTCTCTCACCTCAGGCTGGTTTGACTACTGGGCCCGTGTCGCTGAGTCTTAACCAGCATCCAAACTCTCTGGTATTACCTCACATTGTCTGTTTCTGCTTATTGGATTCCTGGCTTGCGTCCCGCGCCAGGATCATGGCAACCAGGAAAATGGTAGTTATCGAATCGAGGCAACGTTAGTCCTCTGCCTCCTCTGCAAATTCCTTCAACAAACATTGATTGAGGGTCTGTGATCTGTGGAGTGCTGTGCAAATCCTACCCCCGCCCCCCTAGACATCAGATTCTGTTCCTTGTTTGTGCCAGAGCGTCCTGTTCACTTAGGCCCGGAGTCTATCTTCCATTCTTACAAAATCTCAATTTTTTTTCTCCTTGCCAACACTCACAAAGTCCTTTTTAAAAATCTCCGTGGTGTTCACTAATTCTTGCCCACCCTTATTCGTCTAAATCCCTTAGTGTATTAAAATCAACACATACCATCCCATCATGACTACCCCTTTCCCTACCAAATCTAGACTGTTTGCTAGATTGTTCTCTCTTTTCCTGGAAATATTCTTTTTTCCTCAATATGTGACCTTTGACAGACCTTCTTAGAGACAGAATGTTCTGTTCGAACATAAACTTGCTAGGTGATCTGGGGCAAGTTGTTTAACTGTCCTGTGCCTCAGTTTCCCCTTTGGTTAAGAATGTTTATAATCCCTCTCTCATGTAACAGGGTTGTTAATAGAGCAGTTTTTAGCAAGGAGCAGACGAAATTGACTGCATCCAAATCTCCTGATCTTACAGGATTCCTACAGAGAGAGAATGCCTCTGAATCCACTCACTCCCATCCACCAGATCTCGTCAAAGCCCAATATCACCAGATTAGAAAATATTTTAGAGGTATTTTTATTCTAAATCCCGAAACACAGAGCTTATCCCCCTGACAACAAGACATTTATTGGAAACCTAGGAAAGAGTCCTCCAGACCGGAAAAAGCTTGTGTTTAGATCCAGGGTTATTTGTTTATTTGCACAAAATAAAACATTCTTTTTTTTACTATTTTAACAAAAAGGGAATTTTTTAACAAAAGGGAATTTAAAAACTCATTTAGAATCAGTCTTTTGGGGCTATTATTAAAATGAAACTTGTGGATTAATTTAAGCCATGTGTTTGACTTTCTCAACCCCACTCCACCTTATACCATCCTTTCTCCTGATTTCCAAAATGAACATTTTTGAGGCATCACTGTGGCACTTTTTAAATTAAATTAATTGACGAACTATTGCTATAGCCAGAGATGGACTTACCAGAACGCTAAAAAAGCTTAAGCTTCAGGACTCGTCGCTGGCACAGGCACCTTTTAAGGCCCTATATGTAATCTCATATTTTTAAAATTTATATTCTTTTCCTTAAAGAGCACCCACTCCCCCCGCTCCCCAAATAACTGTGTAAGCTTCAGGCCCCACAAAACCTGGGTGTGCCCATGACCATAGCTGTTGGACAGCAAATCATGACATCAGAGGCTGCAAGCAAGATGCTTTTCTTTCTGTTCTCAACAGTGCCTGACACATAGCAGGTGCTTAATAAATACCAACCTTTCATTGTATCCATGGGCCTGATGGCAATCGCAGAACGTGTTATTGGGAATCTCTACTACAACATTCTACCGCCTGACCTTACACAATTTTCTTATCCCTCTGAGACTCAAAAGATTTTCATTTCTCAAACGCCTTATCTCATGGGCATAACAGAGGGTAAATGAAATGTTAGTTACCTGTCCTTCCTCATTCCTTCATTTCCCTCTCTCTACTCATTTCTTTTTTTTCCCTTTCTCATGCCACCTCTCCTCTCTATTTTCCTAGGATTTCCCATTGACTCTTGCAGCTGAAAAAAGTTTGCTGGGCTCTGATTGGGCTACTACTTTTCCATCATTCACAGTCTAGAACTCATTTACTCTGGATATCTGAAGAAGAATTATTTTTAGACCAAATACAACAGACAATGTCAGATTAGCATTCATTCAGGACCACCAAGCAAAATTCGGGGCAATATGTACATTACCTTGAAGCTACTGATAGACACATCCGTTGAAATTTCAGGATTTTATATCAAACTTAATCCAATTATCATGATTTCACGCTGCCATGTTTCGCTTTAGGAAGATTTCTACTCCTCACTCTCCCCATAAACATTCATGGAGCATCTCCTGTGGATCAGGATTCAGCAGTGATCGAGACAGACATAGTCCCTGCCCTCACGGGGCTTATATTTCAGGGTAGAGAAGGCAGGCAAAAACAAATAGTACTCCCTGACATTTTCTTGTTCCCGTGCTATGGAAAAAATAGCACTGTCTAGGGACACTTGGGAAGCTACTGCAGCCATCCAGGCAAGAAATGATGGTGGCCTAGTCTAGGATGGTAGAGGGACAGAGTACTGATGGATTTGGGAATGATTTTAGTGAGAACCTCCTGACTTCTTTTTTTCTCTCCTAATCTCC